AAAAAAAAAAAAGTGAGGAAGCCATATTAGCAGACCTTTGAGGGGCCCAAGACCCTCTGTCTCAGGCATAGGTGGTTTCAGCTCAGCAAAGTTCTTGGCCAGTGTCTAGATATCCCTCACCTACAAGGAGGAAGCCAGTGGGCACAGCTCTATCCAGCTAACCCCCCTTCAGAAAGGTGCCCTAAATGAGTCCCTTGAGTCTCTTAGTAGCATTTCTGCAGAAATTTTTGTGGGCCCCAGCAATTCCAGGCCTTAAGGTTACCTGCAGCCCAGCTTGCCTCCCCTGCTCTTGAGTCAAGGCCAGGGATAATATTTTAGAACTGGAAACCACAGGAGTGCCCATGTGATGGCTCCCTGAGTCACACTGGCTTCTGCTCCCCCCTGTCATATCTAACTGTATGGAGAGCCCCTCCTTCACAAACATCTTTTCTTTCCCTGTCTCCTGTGATATTTTCTGGAACTCTTCCTCCATCTCACTCTACCTTTGGGTGGGAGCAATAGGGCATATTTGTTTTGGTCCCTGCCTCTGAGCAGCCTGGAAAGGGGATCTGTCCCACCTCTGAACTCCTGGGAGCTTGCTGTCTGCTCTAGAGTCAGAGCAGCCAAGAACAAGAGTTTTCAAATCAAACCAATCCAGGTTTAATTCCTGCCTGTTCCCAGGGCCTTGTGTAAGTTAGCTTTGCTTCTGGTATATAATACAAAGGTCACAATGCCCTTGTCACCATTCTTCAAAAGGCAAAGTCAGGGCACATTTTTGAAAAAAACCTTTTTTTTGTTTGTTTTGAGACAGTCTTACTCTGTTGCCCTGGCTAGAATGCCATTGCATCATCATAACTCACAGCAACCTCAACTCTTGGGCTTAAGCAATCCTTTTGCCTCAGCCTCTCAAATAGCTGAGACTACAGGTACCTGCCACAAGGCAGACTAATTTTATTTTTAGTACAGACAGAGTGTCCCTCTTTTTTTTGTTGTTTCAGACAGAGTTTCACTATGTCGCTCTGGGTAGAGTGCTGTGGCATCCCAGCTCACAGCAACCTCAAACTCTTGGGCTTAAGTGATTCTCTTGCATCAGCCTCCCAAGTAGCTGAGACTACAGGTGCCCACCACAATGCCCAGCTATGTTTTGGTTATTGTTGTGGTTGTTGGGCAGCCCCAGGCTGGATTCAAACCCACCAGATGCAGTGTATGAGGCTTGTGCCTGAACCGCTGAGCTACAGGTGCCAAGGGTGTCCCTCTTAATCAGCCAGTTTCCAACTTCTGCACTCAAGGGGTCCTCTTGCCCCATTTTGGCCTCCTGCTAGGGTGAAAGAGAAGCAAGTCTAACACCATTTTGTTGTAACTCTCATTCCTTAGAATCAGTGGGGAGGCAAAGCTGGCCTGACTCCATTCTGTTGTTTTACTACATTTTATTGCTTTTTTAAAAAACCGGTTCCACTTGCCTCCCCACCCATTACATGGTATTTTAAGGGTACCTGGTTAGAACTGTTAGAATTATTAGTATTGTGTAGAAAGTCACTAACTTCCCTGTGACAACAACCCTTGTGATTATGTTAAGGTGGTCTTCATACTATCCTCATATGATATTGAAATGTTAAAAGAACAAGTTTAACTCCATTTTACTATTTACTCCCTTTTACCTTCAGAACTACTTTTTCTAGTTTGCCCTCCCATTGTGTAACTGCAAATGCATTTGCTTATGACTGTGGCCCTAGTGATAATAGCTTTATGACCCTTACCATAATGATTCTCCCTACCCCTTTAACTATTTTCGCTTCTGTAATAACGCTTGCTTGGCCCCTGGAAAAGTTTTACCCCTATAAAAACCAGAGCCACAGACAACTCGGGGCTGTTCTCAGAAACCCCATGTTGGGACACAGCCTGTTCTCCAATGAAAGAAATTATGATTTGCCTGGCTGTATGGCCTCTGGCGGAACTCCTGGGCATAACACTCCCAGAGTGGTGGGATTACAGACGCAAGCCACCAACCATCTGGCCCGCATTTGAGAAATTTAACATTGTTACAACAGTGTTAGCTAAGTCCCGGCATTGCAGCCCACGTGGTGCCTTTAAACTGTCCCCTTTAACTGAGGACAGTTCCTCAGTCCTTGTCTTTCCAGGACACTGATAAGAGGGAAGAAGACGCCTCCTTGTTCAGCAGGGTGTCCCTCTTCTGGGGTTATCCAAAGCAACTTCTGCGGGAACTTTACACGAGCGCATCCTGGGGGTGGGGATGGGGTGCCGAGGCCGTCCTATGGAGGCCGACCTCGGTTCTTAGGCTTAAGCGCAATCAGCAGATTTCCCTCTCCTTTCACCGGTAATAAAAAAACATTCAGGGGGACTCCTGGGGACTGTGCACACATTCTGTTTCCCAAGAAACCTTAACTCAGGGGTTTTAGCGCGCGTTAAGTATTGTCGCCGGCGTCCGCTAGGACGGCGGGGCTGCGGAGTGGGGTTCTGGTTCCACCAGCCCTTTCGCAGTTCTAATCCGCGGTCTGCCTCGGGCAAAGCGTGCCCCGCTCTCCACTCCCGCCTTCCCTTCCACAAGGATGTTGGCAGTTGAGGCACCGCCTGCAGGCGGACTCCACAGCCCCGACCGCGACTCCCAGAGGCCCTGGCGCGCGCGAAGGCCCTAGTCGGCGTCCACAGCGTGTCACGTGGTCTCCGCGAAGGGTCACGTGACTGCCATCACAGGTCACGTTGCTGCCGGCGCGGGTCACCAGACCAAACACCCGGGCGGTGGCGTTTCCTGGCCGGTGTGCCGTAGGCAGCCGGCCATGGCCAACGTCTCCAAGAAGGTGTCGTGGTCAGGCCGCGACCGCGACGACGAGGAGGCAGCGCCGCTGCTTCGGAGGACGGCGCGGCCCGACGCGGGGACGCCGCTGCTGAATGGGGCCGGGCCCGCAGCCGCGCGCCAGGTGAAGCCCCTGCGGGGAGCGCCGGGGCGACCTGGCTCTGAGACCCGGCGATCGAGCCACCAGTGGGTTAGGTTCGCGCCCTGGGCGCGCTTGAGGAATGGCACGACTGGCCTTGGAGCTGGGTTTCTGGCGTCTTGGGGGGACGCCCGGGAAGGTGGAAGGGGTGGTGGAGCAGGTGGGAATCTGCAAGTCTGAGGAGCTGGGTGGGCCGAGCGCAGCCAGGGCTTTGGATGATGCCCTGACAGCGCACCCCAAAATGGCCTTTCAGGGGAGGCAGGAGGCTCTCTTAAAAAGCTGTAAAAAATACATGAGCAGCCAATGTTATTTATTCAATGTTTGAGTCTCAGGAGACTCTGACAGTCCACATTGCAGTTTTTCAGTGAGAGTGACAAAAGACCTCTGCCTGCCACCTTTCTCTGGGGAGATCAGTAAGGCTTTGGGGGGGGGGGTTAGGAATGATAAGTATTTGTACTCAGTTTTCCTTAGCACCTAATTTGAAGTTGGCATGAATAGCCAAAGACAATAACCAGTATGTCAGGTTGGTCGATAGGCAGTTTGTTTTTGAACAAGGTAATGTTTGGAGAAAGATCACAATTACATTTATTTTCCTGTCTGTTAATTTTAAGTTAATGACCATTTTTATTGATTGCTTGGTCTTAATCTGTTCTACAATTACTCTTTACATGTTTTCTTTTCATTCTATGTCCTTTAAAAACTTATATGGTGAGGCTCAGCGCCCATAGCTCACTGGTTATGGTGCTGGCCACATACACTTGGGTTGGCAGTTTGAAGCAGCCTGGGCCTGCTAAACAACAACGACAACTATAGCAACAACAACAAAAATAACTGAGCAGGGCGGCATCTGTGGCTCAAAAGGGTAGGGCGCCCACCTTATACGCCAGAGGTTGCTGGTCCAACCTCAGCCCTGGCCAAAAAAATAAATAGCTGAGCATTGTGGTGGACATTGGTATTCCCAGCTTCTTGGGAAGCTGAGGCAAAAGAATCGCTTAAGCCCAAGAGTTTTGAGGTTGCTGTGAGCTGTGATGCTACAGCACTCTACTGAGGGCAACATAGTGAGACTCTGCCCCCC